TCAGATCCAACCTAACAATTCTTATTACATCTCAGCGATACTTCTGGTATGCATGTGATTCTGAGTTATACGAAAATAGTAAGAAATGAAAATTATAAGAGTGATCCTCCTCAGATTCCTATAGGCATAAATTGCTTCTAGCCGGAGAGATCAAGGTTTAGAGATGGACGGAATGTTATGCTGAATGCTAAATTGACGATCTACAGCAATACAATTGCATCTCCAGTTAAAACCATTATGCAATGCAATTGATGAAAGCCTTATGCTGAATTGTCTGTCTGCAGCAATGCAATAATCAGTTCTGAACCATCCTCTATCAATTTACCTACAGGATAGGTGGTATCATAAAAAGTCAGTGACTCGAATGTGACACTTCTCTAACCGCGATACTTAAGATATTTGTATTGTCGTCAATTTTAAAAATCAAACCTTCTTCGTCATCCTCATCAACCATATCATCGTCTTCTGCCTCGCCCGCAAGATCACTATCATCCTGTTTAGTCGCACTGAAATAAACACTCATCATGTTGCAACTCATGTGAGGAGTAATGAGAATTACTTTAATTCTCGAGAATTCCATCTGCCAAATAACGAAGTGCTTTGTAAGGACGGCAATGCCAATGGGAACGGGAATCCGTAAAAGTCCCACTTCTCAGCAACACATTACCATAATCTTTTATTGCAGTGATCTCTTTTATAACTCAGTTATCAAACATCTCAAAAGCAGAATTCAGAAGATTTTGAATTTGAAAATTTGAATTTTTTGAATTTTTTCAAAATTTGAAAATTCAAAAAAATTCAAAATTTGAAAAATTTGAAAATTTGAAAAAATTGAAAATTTGAATTCTTGGTGCTTTGATGCAGATTGACAACTTTATTTATGACTGACACCCACCCGTTTTTGGCTACTGTAGTCGTTGATTGATCATCCTTNGTTGTCACTCGTTCATTAGTTTGTTTATTGCAAAAGTCGTTGTTTGACAAATCATCAACCATCGCTATAAAAAACTTTTTGGTTTGACTTATTCAGTATACCTAACCGAGCTAACTGATTCCATTCTGACTGATTTTATTCTGATTCTGATTCTGAGCCTACGATCGCTGAGTTTGTTGCAATATGAATCATGATGTGAATGCATCTCTTACACAAACCCTGGAGGTGCAGTAGGTGTTGAGGTCATGTAGTGCTGAGGAGGTGCCACAAAAGTGCCTTGATCGTACATTGGATACCCGCTTGTCGACGGTTGATGTGAGTCAATTCCGAACGGCGTAGCATGTGGATGATAACCTGAATTCAATAAACGCTCAGGACAGTCATGACCCTAACCACCTATCATTCACATCATCCATACATGAATTATCCGCTTAATACCACTTGTTTCTATCTACACAGAGCTCAGTTAGATCCATCTTAATGTTCAGCTGTGATTTCGTCTTGTACATTAAACTGCAATCATTGACTGAATGCTGTAATCGCATCTCATCAAACGAATATCAACTCCCTATCGATAAAGATGCTGTTCAACCAGACCTTCAAAATGTTCAGAAAGAATTCATCATAATGACGAATGTCGACTAATTTCGAGCAATCTGTGGAATGTTTCTTGCGTTATTTTCCATGAATTCCTTCATTCCTACAGTATGCCTCATATCGAAAGAGAACTAAGTTCAGCAGAGAACAGCACTATCTCATTGAAGTGAATGCACAACGCTTATGATGTGATAATGAACAAATCAAATAACACACAGAAGCTAAAAGAAAAATTCACATATATCCACTGTTGTCATTGTAGAGAAAGACGTGTTTTTAACGAGCAGATAGTTTCGTTCGTGTTGTGTGTTTATGTTAAAATGCAACCGAACGTAAAATTTCTTAAGCAAACTAATTGTGCTGTCGTTTTGCAGTTACTGTAACGTGTAACCAGTCGAATGTCACTTTTGTTGACATTTTAACACAACAAATTTTACGTACAGTTTTGATGCAAAACTGTGAGTGAAATTTCTTCAAATGAATATATGTAAGTGAGAGCGATAAAAATATATGGAGAAGGTGATGGCGAAAGTGACAAGCTCATGACGATTTGATAGGATGTGTCAGGTGAAGCATTGGGGATTATCCGCTATGGATGACACGTGCCAATCAGTCTGTTGAATGCGATAGACAAGACTTAATCAACTGACTGTTCGTTTAGTTAGAATTCAACAAAATACTAACAATAAGTGAAATCTGATGGTGATGGGAGGTTAGTTTTACCTAAAATTTGACGAATTATCTCAATTGAGCACAAGAAATTGCAATCGATTCTTTCATTGGAGATGGTGTCCCTTTGACAGTATCAGTGCTTACTTGAAAGTGTCTTCAATTTTTTCCACCTAATTATTTGCAATTAAGTATTCTGAGGGATAAAGATTTACAGGCAATCTTTTTGACGTAGTTGTTGCACTTGTTTGTATGGTAAGTTTATTTACTCAAGAAGACTGACGATCGTATTCAGTTACGTTCGCTGTGTCTGCAAACAATACAAACTTCACTCACAGCACTAACATTACACGATCGACTGCCTCAGTTCGATACAAACGGATCAACTCACCGCTATTCTTTACTAATCTCACAAATTCGCTTACAAAGTATCGATACAAAACACTGTAACGATTACCTTACGCTAACGACTCCGAAACAGATAATCTATTCCAAATTCATCCCATGCAGCGATATTTTTACTATCATAGCGAACGTCTTCTTAGCTTGTATAGGATTTTTTTGTTTTTCCTTTATTACGCAATGAAGAATGTAGATTAAAAAAACACATCAAATACTGCAGCAGTGGTCCCTGATTTCAAAATAGAAACAGAATAAAATTCAAAGTATCACATGCAAAAACTGAGCGTGGAAACCAATGTTTACGTTGGCCGAAAGTACTTTCACAATCAGTCAGAAGAAACTTGCATAGAGATCATATGTTGATATAGGTCAGTCAGGTTTTAGTGATTTTATGAAAATGGTTTGATCGATAGTATGAACAGCTGGTATGTTTTTATGACTTAATTACTTGATCTGTATAATGTGTAAAAGTACCACTAATTGTAGGCAGCACTAAGTTTCCATGTGTTTTACAGTGTCTAATAACATCGGAAGGGTTTCTACAGGCTTACCTATGCTCCATTTGACGCATACCTTACATTATCTAGTAACGAGATTCGAGGTCTAATGAGAACCGAAATGAAAAGGAAAAATAATATGTTTTTACGAACTTCCAAGTAGAGGCAAATGCTCGGTCCATGAAGATGGTGGTGGATGAGCGTAGAAGTTAGCCGAGTTGATTCCATCTGACAAATCGTTCTTGAAAACGTCACACCTAAAACAAAAACAATGTCGGTGATCATTAAAATTGAGTACACTTTGCATGGCTATTACCGAGATGCAAGCTGATAGTTTATAAGAATGCTCCGAATCGATATATTGCAAAGGCATTAAAGTATCACAACATTTGTTACTGGTAAGGTATCGGAATATGTTCAGCAAGCTGAAACGCTGAATTTTATCATAGCCACAGAATCTGGATTGTTGAAAGAGTTAAGAAGGAGTTACGAACTGGAATATGCTGAAACCTTCAGTTTAGTCGGTAGAGCTGATGAGCAATGAGAAATACGGTGATCAGCTCAGGAGTTAACTGGTTAGCTGAAAGGCGGCTGATTGGATTGACTGCTTCAGTATAAAGACTTTATCAAAGACGAAATCAATTAGACATCAAATGAGAGGAGGACAAGATGGGATTTTGAGATTAAGAGGATCACTCGATTAAGAGGAGTGCTGCTTGATTGATGATGGATGGTACTTATGTGAAGTGACTGATCTCCTTAATGATTAGTACAAAACTAATCGATCAACTCGAAATCGATTCAACAATCGTCTACAGTTAACATCCCATCGAACTCAATTGGATGTTGTTGAGTTATGTAAATGAAGAAACGTTGTTTATAATGTAATGAATAAGCTTAACAACGCAACAAAACTGCTATATTCAACAGAATCATTTTTATCGTTTGAGCATTGCCTTCACCTTATATCGTCTCTGATGA